GGCCCGCCTCACCCTCGGCGGCCGCCGCGCTTCTGCTGCTCCGAGCCAGGCGTTGGTTTCGCTCCCACAAGATGGCGGCTCTGACGGCGGCCACGTCAGTGCCTGCCGCCGCGAGGGACGCTGGGGAACGCCCGCGGCCCCGCCCCCTCCCCGCCACGGCGCGCACGCGCAGACTTAGGGTGGGGGGGTGGAGCCGGTGGGGGGCGCGCGGGAATCCGACGAGGCCACGCCCCGGGACGCGCCCCGCCCACTGCCGCGCGTGCGCACCCCTCCCTCGCCAGAGCGGAGTCCGTCTGCGCCTGCGCTGCGCGTCTCCGGGGAAGGGCCGTGTGGGCACCACGCGCCCGTCTCGCAGATGCGGAGATTGAGGTCCGGACAGGCCCGGAGCGGCGAGGAGCGGCGGCCCGGGGTGCCAGCCCCGTTCTCTTCCGGGCTGTCGCCGCGAGTCCTGGCAGGGCCACGTGAGAGCCTCTCCGGGCGTCAGACACCCGGTAGAGTGTTCCATTGCCACCAGCAGGCGGCCACTGCGGATCTCAGGGGCGCCCGCCGCTACCCCGGCCCGGTGACCGCAGTGACGCGCGCAGCCCCGCGCCCCAGAGCCGACCCGGGCGAGCAGCCGCAGGCCGCATAGAGAGCCGTCCAGTAGCGCAGGGCGAGCAGAGAGCCAAAGCCGGGCAGGGGCAGCGCTGCCCCCGAGGTGGCCGCGGAGCCGGGGTCCAGGTGACAGGGAGGGGGAGCCCCTCCTCTGGGAGGCTTCCCCGAGCTGATCAGAAGGGAGGGGAGGACCGTTGCGACCCCTCTCCACCTTCTCCAGGCTCGGGGCCTGGCTGTGGCCCCCACTTGGGACCTCACTCTGGCCTCCTGCCCACCCCGGCCCCCCACCCTTTCTGCTATCTGGGCTCCAGCCCCCCACCCTCGTGCCGCTGCGAGGGGTCCCATCAAAAGGCTTAGGCGACATTGCTGGGGGTTCCTCAGCCCCGTGCCCTGCGTGTGGAGGGCGCAGAGCAGGGCCATTACCACCCCCCCACCCGCCCCCACCCCGCCTCCGAGTTTACCTTCCTACCCTAGGGAAGAGGAGCATCTTCAGGCCAGCCGGGTCCGGGACCCGGGGTAGGACAGCAGAGGAAGGAGTCCGCCAGGGGGCCGCGCAGTGCCGGACAGTTACCTGGGGAAGCTGACGCCCTGGTGCTCGCCTTACTCAGGGGGCCAGGACCTCTCTGTCTCTCTTCCCTGTGGTGGCTGGGGACAGACCCGGGGAGGCGCCTGCCCTGCTTCTGCCAGGAGGGGGCGCGGTGAGCCGGCGAGAGGGTCCGCCCGTCCAGAGCCGCCTCTGCCGTCAGGCTGAATCCCCCAGTCCAGATCCTCACCTCCAGCCTGACCATGGGCCGGCCTGGCTGGGGTCTGGGCTCGAGCTTCCCTACTCTGCGGGTCCCTGAGCCCAAGGCCCGGGTCAGACACAGGGATGCTGAACAGGAAGGCCCCAGGCAAGGTGGCCAGAGGGACAGAAGCCCCGGGGGGAGCAAAGAGGCAGAGGCAGGAGAGAGGAGGAGGAGGAGATGTGGCTTCCTCCAGGACCCCCGGCCTCTCAGGCACCTCTTGCAGCTTCTGTGTGCCACGCCTGTGAGGTGGGCAGTGTTTGCACCAGGCTGAGGTTGCTCAGAGAGGTTGCAAGCCCACTCACGGTCACACAGCTAGGATTGAGCCCCTGGAACTCGGCCCCCAGTGTGCCTGTCGCCAGCACCTTCGCTCTTCCCTCAGCCCTGTCCTGCCTCAGGACACCAGCTTCAGGGCCTCTGTGGGCTGTAACGTTATCTCGGACTCCTATAGTGACGAGGAGCTCGCTACTTAGTTAAGGCACTCAGCATCCAGCTCCGAGTTGCAAGAAGCCTTATCCCCTTAAAGACTTCCCTGGATGGTGGGGGGAAAGGGGCACTCCAGCTCCCTTCGGTCCCCTGCCTGCTCCCGGCTCAGCTCCATTGGGCTGGCCTCCACAGATGCCCTGAGCCCAGAGGTTTCTGTCCAGACAGGGCCCCACCCCTCCCTCTGTTCTGCCCACTCCCTTCTCTTCCAGGCCCACCCCCACAGCCCCCCCCCACAGGTCCCTCCTGGTGCGTGCTGCAGGAATGGTTATGGCTGTGCCCACACCCAGGGCAGCCCTGCCCTTCGGCCTCAGCCTGGGCTGGGGTCTGTGGCCCAGCTGGCCTTGACTCCTGCTGCTCCCATGGCCAGCAGGGGGTGGGCTTGTCCAGGCCACACAGCAGCTGAGGGGCAGCATGGGAACCACAGCCTAGTTCCTCTCATCTCCGGGCCTCTGAGCCTCACCGTTTATTCCACACCTGCTCCTGCCTCAGTTTCCCCATCTTGTGCCAGCTCCTCCCTTGCCTGCATCCTGACAGTGGCCCCTCACCCTGGCCCAGCTCATGGGGCTCCTTCCTGTCCTGAGAAGGCCAGGACGGTTCTGACCCGGGGCCTTGCTCCCTCTGTCCTGGCATGGCAGCCCTCTCCGGAAGGCCAGCTCCATGGGGCCAGGACTGTTCCCTGGTTGGTTCTTGTCGCCCCAGGCCTGCGCGGAC